GAATAAGTAAAGCATTACTCAAGAAGAAGAACAAAGTGGGAGGCCTCACACTAGCTGACTTTAGAACCTATTATACCACCATGTTAGTTAAAACAGCCTGGTACTGGTGCAACAACAGACACATAGACCAATGGAACAGAATTGAGAATTCAGACATAAATTCATCCCCCTTGAGCAGCTGATATTTGACAAAGGCCCAAAGTCTGTTAATTGGGGAAAAGATAGTCTCTTTAGCAAATGGTGCGGGCATAACTGGATATCCATCTGCAAAAAACTGAAACAAGACCCATACCTCACACCATGCACAAAAACTAACTCAAAATGGATCAAAGACTCAAATATAAAATCAAAAACGATAAAGATCATGGAAGAAAAAATAGGGACAACACTAGGAGCCCTAATACGTGGCATAAACACAATACGAACCATAAGTAACAATGCACGAGCACCGGAAGAAAGACTAAATAAATGGGAGCTCCTAAAAATCTAACATTTATGCTCATCAAAAGACTTCACCAAAAGAGTAAAAAGACAACCTACAGACTGGGAGAAAAATTTTGGCTATGACAAACCGATCAGCCTCTTATGTCTAAAATATATAAGATACTGCAAAACCTCAATAACAAAAAGACAAATAACCCTATTAAAAAATGGGCAAAGGATATGAACATGCATTTCACCAAAGAAGACATTCAGGTGGCTAAGAGACACATGAAGAAATGCTCATGATCATTAGCCATTAGAGAAATGCAGATCAAAACTACAAAGAGATATCATCTCACCCCAACAAGGCTAACATGAATCCAGAAAACACAAAATAAATGCTGGAGAGGTTGTGGAGAGACTGGAACACTCATATACTTGGTGAGAATGTAAAATGGTACAACCACTTTGGAAATTGATTTGGCACTTCCTTAAAAAGCTAGAAATAGAAGTATCATATGATCCAGCTATCCTGATCCCTGGAATATATCCTAGAGAAGTAAGGGCTGTCACACAAATAGATATATGCACACCCATGTTCACTGCAGCAGTGTTCACAATAGCAAAAAGAGGGAAACAACCTAGGTGCCCATTAACAGATGAATGGATAAACAAACTATGGTATATCCACACAATGGAATACTACGCAACAATAAAGAACAAAGATGAAGCCGTGAAACATAACATGGACGAAGCTGGAGGTCATTATGCTGAGTGAATTTAGTCTGTCACAAAAGGACAAATATTGTATAAGAACACTATTATAAGAACTCAAAAAAAGGTTTAAACACAGAAGAAAACATTCTTTGAGGGTTATGAGGGTGGGCGGGGGGGGAGGGTTATTTACTAACTAGATAGTAGACAAGAATTATCTTAGGTGAAGGGAAGGACAGCACACACTACAGAGGAAGTCAGCACCAAAACCAAAGCTAATTAGTCTCCTGAATAAAATCAAACACTTTGAGGGACACAGTAGCAGGGGTAGGGGTTTGAGGACCATGCTTTCAGGGGACATCTAGGTCAACTGGCATAACAAAGCTTATTAAGAAAACATTCTGCATCCTATTTTGGCGAGTGGCGTCTGGGGTCTTAAAAGCTTGCAAGCAGCCATCTAAGATGCATCAATTGGTCCTAACCACCTGGAGTAAAGGCGAATGAAGACCACCAAAGACACACGGAAAGCATTAGCCCAAGAGACAGAAAGGGCCACATAAACCAGAGACTTCATCAGCCTGAGACCAGAAGAACTAGATGGTGCCCGGCTACCACCAATGACCGCCCTGTCAGGGAACACAACAGAGAGTCCCTGCTGGAGCAGGAGAAAAGTGGCATGCAGAACTCAAATTCTACTAAGAAGACCAGACTTAATGGTCTGCATGAGGCTGGAGGAACCCTGTTAAGCATGGCCCCTGGATTCTCTCTCAGCCCAGAACTAAAACAATTGCCAAGGCCAACTCTTCAGACAGGGATTGAACTGGACTGTGGGACATAAAGTGATACTTGTGAGGAGTGTGCCTCCTAGCTCAAGTAGATACAAGAGACTAAATGGGCAGCTTCTGTCCGGAGGTGAGATGGGAAGGCAGAAAGGGTTAGGAGCTGGTTGAATGGACATGAAGAATCAGAGGTGGAAAGGAGGAGTGTGCTGTCACAGTATGGGCAGAAAAATTAGAGTCACATAACAATCTACGTATAAATTTTTGTATGGGAAAATTTAAAAAAAAAAACTGAAAAATTAATTAAACTGTAACCAGCCACAAGATAAAAGAATCACAACCAAGTCCATCATCCAGGGTAACGAAAGGGAAGAAGTGATACAAATAACACAAATCATCAAATGATTCAAAATAACTGACATGCAGTCATACTCAAACCTTATCAGATACACATTCTGGCTCCTTCTTGCTCCATCATGTGACTTCTCTTTAGGCTCAGCTCTGCTGTTGGCAACCTGAGTTCCAGATAAGCAGTAGGAAGCAGAAGGGAGACCTGGGTTCCCCCATGAATAATCTACTAAGTAGATCACTCCCTGAGGAAACTTTTGATGTTCTAACACAAGTTTCTGTGTTCCCTTAAACTGATTCCAACTTTAAAGTACTTGTACATGACTAGATCTTACCACTAGCCACCTAACCCTGAACCAAAAACCAGAACCTCCTACTCACAGTAAGTTATGCCATAAATGGGCTACAAGTGTGCCTGAGCTATTGATGCCTTCAGTCCCCAGAGCAGCCACATAGATACCCCCATATCAGTCACCTTCAGCCATGGGCAGCCTTGTTCACTACCCTAATGTGCCTTACAAACATTATTACTTTTTTCTCTGAATGCTGTAGACCAAGGCCCCTAAATCCAGCCATAAACCTGCCCTGTCTACTTACTTCTAAGTCTGTGAATCTGCATATAAATGTATAAATGCATACAAATGAATAAACATAAAGGTACATGAAGCCATTTAGAAAACATAAAAATTTTATACCCAATGACAGCTAATAACAGCATCAAGTGAAGCCAAAGCTTAGATCTTGACTCCTCCCTCCCTCACCAGCTCAGTGACCAAGATCTGGAAAATCTACCTCTTAATATATTTTTGAATAGGTTGCCTACTTTCAATATCATGCCTTAGTTCAGAATCTCAGCATTTCTCATCTGGATAATAGTCTCCTAATTGGTCTTCCTGTCTCTGGACTCAGTGAAAATTGCAAATATCATTTGAAGGATTATGTGACAGGTACTGCACTAAACACTGGATTATTTAACTCTACTTTTCAATTCTCACAGCAACACTGAAAAGCAGAAATTATTGATGAGGGAACTGAAGCTCTGACAGGTTAAATGACTTGCCCAAGGTCATACAGCTGGAAATGCGGAGTGGCAATTCAAATCAGGTCTATGCTCCCAGCTAACCTGCTCAACCTTCCTCAATTTGATGCCCAGTGTGACCTTTTAAAAGGTAAATTTAATCCTGTTTTGCCCCACATAAAATCCTGCAATGGCTCCCCATCACCATCAGGGTAAAATCTAAACTGAAGAAATATGACAAACAAAAGGCCCACCTCTCCAGCCTCATCCCCTGCCATTCTCACTCCCTCTGGCCATACTTAGCTCCCCTTCAGTTTCCTAATACGCATCTCACCTCTTTGCCTGTGAGCATATTGTTTTTCTGCCAAGAACACTTCTCCCCTTTGGCAGGCTATTTCCAAAGCAAACTTCAAGATTTACTCAGACAACCCTTGCTGTGGAAAGACTTCACCCTAACAAGCACATACCCAAAACTGGGTTAAGTGACATGTTACAGTTATCAGCTAAGTTTCTTATCACACTGTATTATAACTTTGCCTTACGAGCCTATTTGTTTCTCAAGAGTAACTACTGTAACTTTCAATCTCTGTGCTGCTAATAAAGTATGTGTGTAGTAGAGAAAAGACTCAAATGTATGCAAAATTAATGAATTCATACAACTGAAGAACTTGGGCCTGAAGTCTGCTTAATCTGGTTTCAAATTCTAACGTGCCATATATCATACCCGCCAAGCCTACAGCAGACTTTAGTGTTTTTTTATTTATCTGTAAAATGGGAGATACTTGCACCTACCTCATAGTCAGGGTAAGAATAAAAGAAATAATGCACTTACCACAATCCCTGGCACGGAGAAAGTACACAATAAACATTAGCAACATTTTTTTCACTCTCAAAGTTTCTCTACCCTGAGAAAACCACATCTCAGAAAACAGCTTCGCCCAAAGCTTCCGTCAGAGATCAGTTTCTCCAAAAAGTCTAAAGTCAAAAAATCTTACACAACCATCCTTTATTCATAGACAAGGATCTTCCAGTGTTGTGGTTACACAGAGCTCAGTAGCTACCATACGCCAAATCAGTAACTACTGTTTGCAGTTTACTGCTTCTTACTCAACCATCAGTTTACTCCTTCCAAGTTAAAGACCATGCCTCTAAGCAGGAGGAAATTAGCCCCACAGAAACTAGTCAGTACCTTCTCCAAGGCCCCATTACCTCTCCCTCCAGTTCTGCGCAAATTAGAAACAGAAATCTCTGTGATCATCTTCTACAAACTTAAATGCCCTTGGAGAATCATAACGAAACCTTTTCTACTCATACCAAGACTTTAGCTCCCAAAGTATTAATTCAAGATAGAAAATGAATTCCTGGCAGAAAGAGTCCAAGGAAAAGAATTCCCTTAACCCTTCCCTCAATAAGAGTTCTCCAGGTCTACTGCCCTCAAACAGTGACCAAAATCCACCATCCCGCCCCGCCCCTTCTTGACAGAGTCCAGGGTCCTGTCTACTCTCTTCTGAAAGAGAGGTGGCTCCGTACTTTCAAGGGCCAGGATTCCTTCCGCCCACCCATGTCATCTCCCTTTCCACCTCGCCCGTGCCCTCCTGCAACACAGGCCGGGCCTGCTCCTTCACCGCCAGCTCCCTCCACAATCCCGCTACTCACCGCTTCTTAGGGATGGTGCCGGACTCCTGCGCGGCGGGAGTGGCCGTGGGCGCCGCCGTGGCCGCCGACGCTGCTCTCCGCGCTTTGCACTCATTGGCACCCAGAGCCTCCTGGGGACGGCCCAGTAGATGGCCCGACAGAACCTGCAGCCTCCGCCGGGCGCGGTCCTGGTCTTGATCCCGGCCCGTTGCACCGCCGGAGCCCACGCCTGTCCCGGCGGCTGCAGCCGCCGCCTCCGCCATCGCTTCCGCCTTGTGCTGCCGCCCCGGACCGCTGGGCGCGGGTGAAAGGTCACTCAGAGCGGCGCCCGACGCGACCATTCGCTGCGGCGCATCCCGACAGCCACCGCGGCGACTGGGCGGCGGGTGCCACGCGCTTGAGCTTCACATTGTCTGCCCCCGCCCACCTCGTCCGCCCGCTCTCCCCGGCCACGCCTCGGGCCGCGTGCACCTGCTAAGCAGGTGAGTTTGAGACGTCCCCGAATTGGCCCGGCCCGAGTTGGCTGTACCAAGAGCCAAGCTACAAGAGCGCCCGAGGTGTCATAGTACCCTGGATGGTGTCCTTGGGTGTGGCTTGGGCCTCCAGATGAACATTCATGGGCAAACGCTTTGGGGCAGGAGGAGTATGGGCAGTGCTCCTGAACCTGATAACGGAACCAGCATCGTCCTTTCCGTGATTGAGATCCCGGAGCTCCACCTCTGATCCCCCTCCCTGTGGGGCCCTAGAGTAACTAAAAACTAACTCTCGTTGCCTGTAACCGTCAGAGCAAATAGCTGTCATTTTCTCATCACCTACTTCGTGCCTGACACTGTGCTTAATGCTAGATCTCCATTTTACAGATGAAAAAACTGAGGCTCAAAGACATTAAGTTGCCCATGGGCATGAGTATGGAACTAGCTAAAGCTGAGTTCCAACTTAGGTTTTCTTTCTATTCCTGGATGCTGTGCCCTTGTATACCCTAATGGAGGTAAAGTTTTTTATTGCCACAGATGAAATAACTCCAACAACTGTTCTTAGGACTTCTTGCTTATTTACAAATTGACTTCACTTCTGGAGGATGGCACTCAGTGAAATTAGGGGCATCTCATAGAACGCAACCATTTTCAGCTAGTGTCATGCTTAAGAATTACACAAAAACTGCCACCTACACTAGCCATTGTCATTCTCCATCACGGATGTCACCACCTTCATGTTTTGCCTTCCTAGTTAAAAGAAAAATATCGGCAGAAGAATCTGAAGAACACCACATCCCTAGGACTAGATATTGACTCACTGACGTCTAGGATCCCGTCAACTTCTAAGACTGAGTTTATGCTTTTACACTGAACTTTCAAAGAGTCCCAGACTGATTAAGAACTATCAATTAAGGACTAGGCAAATTACCGTTGGAGGGCCAACTCCAGCCTGCAGCCTGTTTTTGTATAGCCTTCAAGCTAAAAATGGTTTATATATTTGCAAAGGGTTGTTCAAAAAAAGAAAAAAAGTAACATCTTATGTGGTTGTGCAAAGCCTAAAATATGTATTATCTGGCCCTTTACAGATCTTTATGTACTCTGAAATTCATATATATAGAGAGGTGCCGAGCCACGTTCAAAACAACCCAAATACCCAGCAATAGAGAAGTGGTTAAATAAATTATAGCATATCAATATGGAGAAGTATCTTTTCAGCTATTAAAATAATTTAATACAACTTTGGAAACTTAGGAAGTGCTTATGAATTTATGTTAAATGTAAAACAATAGCCATAATCTAGACATTTTTATACATATTTGTTTACTCAACCTTTGCGACAAAACAGTGACACTGATTTTATTATCCTTATTTTATAGATGAAGGCTCAAGGAGAATAAGAGGCTTTTCTGAAACAGTTATATAATATCTGAAATACCACATTTTTCCATGTTATTGTCCTTAGTCCATGTCATGAATTAAATTATGTCTCCCGAAAAATGTGTGTATCAATTTGTCTGGGCCATGATTCCTGGTATTGTGTGATTTTCCTATATGTTGTAAATCCTGCCTCTATGATGTTAATGAGGGAGGATGGATGGATGGCAGTTGTGTTAGTAAGGCAGGATTCAATCTACAAGATTGGATTGTGTCCTGAGGCAGTCTCTTGAGATATAAAAGAGAGAAGTGAGCAGAGAGACCGGGGGACCTCATACCACCAAGAAAGCAGTGCCAGGAGCAGAGCACGTCCTGTGGACCTGGGGTCCCTGCGTGGAGAAGCTCCTAGTCTGGGGGAACACTGATGAGAAGAAGGTCGACAGAGAGAGAAAGGCTTCCCCTGGAGCTGATGCCCTGAATTTGGACTTTTAGCCTACTTTACAGTGAGGAAATAAACTCTTTGTTAAAGCCATCCACTTGTGGTATTTCTGTTATAGCAGCACTAGATAACTAAAATAGTCCACCATTAGCGTTTTGGGACGTTAACATTATATGTTAAAACTTACTTTTGTAGGCTTGGTTTTGTATGTAATTTGTTTTTTAAAAAAATTTTCAAATTAAACTTACTAAAACGAATTTTCACCCCAGGCATAAACCATAGCTCTAGTTCTTAAAAGTTGAGTTGTGGGAAGAATTTCAGAGATTGCTACCACAGCTATCAGAGGGACCTTATTCCTGGGGTACAAAAACATGCATCACATACAGCACTTTCTTAGGTATCTGTAACTGAGAAGGAGAATCTTTGTTTGGTTTTGCATAATTCAATATGGAATCCTCCAAACCACTAGTTCCTGACTTTTGCATACTTTGGCCCTGTTTTTGGTAGATACCATGTATAGCACAGTAGAACCTATTCCTGGTTGGCATTTTCAGGATTTCAGCTGCTGACCAGAAAAGTAGGTATGTGCTACTGCACATTTGATAACAGAGGCGAAAGATCTGGCTCCCTCTCGTTTACTTGATTATATTGTCAATTAGAGGTGTTGTCACATATTTAAAAGTTTTAAGACCCACCACTGGTACTGTATTTGAGAAGCCTTCAGATGTCAAGTATATGATCCTAGTGGTCTACTTCTTTTCGTCCTGCACAGTCTGAAGAAAACTACATCCATATCCTCTGACCTGATAAAACAGTCCACAAAACATATGGAGATGGTTCAAATCAAGAATTAAGGAGCCAAGGATTATTTCTAAATGCTGTCCCTTCAGTTCCTCTGGATATTGCCTCTATTCCTTATTCTTAACCTCCTCCTTCATCTTTAGAATCCAGTCTGTGATGTCACTGGTAAAATTGTTGCAGAAAGAAATAATGACAACACTCTGATCTAGAGCAACCAATTACTAACCTTTTGAAATGTCCTATAGCCTTTGATACAGTAGATCATTCTTTGCTTTTGTAAGAGTATAATCTCCTGATTCTTCCTATGCCTCCCTGAATGGGGCAGAAAAACCTCATTTTACCCATCCCTTTTATGCATCTCTGTTACCTACCAGTGACACCACCACCATCCTGTTCCATCAGCCACAGGGCTATTTTCAGCTTCTTTCTGTTTTGCATCTGACATGCAGTGTATCAACAGTACATTGTCCTTTGTGGCTGTTAGATCCAGTGTTTCCCTTAGAACTTATTGTCTGTGGCTTTTATTTATCATTTATCATATACGGCTTTGATTTGTTAATTAACTTTTCATTTCATATGTCTGTTTCTCCAAATAGGCCATACGTTCCATGAAGGCAGAGTTCATGTCTTATACAAGAATCTGAGACTTACAAACACTTCATTTATAAGTGACTCAAAAATTTGAATTTGAGGAGAGTGACTAGAGCTACAGTCCTCATAGGAACAATTTGCCCCTTTTCCCCCAACTGGAAATGCCTACATAATAATTAATGTAGAAAGTTATTTCATAGGACAGTGCTTTCCAATAGAACTTTCCCCTATGATGGAAATATTCTGTATTTGTGCAGTTCAGTACAGTCACTACTAGCCACATGTGGCTATTGAGCACTTGAAATATGGCTAGTATAACTGAGAATTTTTTATTTTATTTAATGTTAATTAATTTAAATTTAAATAACTATTGGATAGCACAATTATAGAGTATGAATAAGTTATTGGTGCCTAGAAATGTCAACCCACACCTTTCTCTTTTCCTCCACTACTAGGATAATCCACATTAAGGTATAGAGAAGAGGCATATGCAGAAAAAAGATTTGTTTTACATACAGACCTAGGGCTGTAAATATATTTCACCAAAAACTAATGCTATGCATGATTAAGTGTGGTCAAAATAATACAATCTTCCAGGTACGTTATGAATTATGTAGGCTTTTATGAGCCATCTTACAGACCTACTCATCAGAAGTAAAGTTCCTTTTTACATAATGTGCAATTAAAAGAGAAGTCTTTGGAATAGTAAAAGAAAAGATGACATAAGGGTCCCAAGCCCAATGAAGGCACCTCCTTCTGATGAACTAGGAAGGCTCTGTGAAACAGTTAAGAGATTCCAGTAATTATTTGAGTAATGCAAAAGTAATATGTAATGACTGAGGGAAATATGAGGCACGGTGAGAAAGAGACGGTTTGTATGCCGGATCTTAAGAGATAGATCAGTGGATATCCAGTCCAGCTCTAGAATCCCTAGGTCCAACTCCTGTTCAACTGCTGCTTCTAAGCGTTGTATTCTTCCTAAGGGAAGCCATTGACTATTTCACATGGAATGTGGTTGTTAGTTGCCATCAAGCTGATTCCAACTTATGGCAACCCCATATGTGTAGAGTAGAGCTGCTCCATAGGGTTTTCAAGGGTGTGAACTTTCAGTAGCAGATCACCAGCCCTGTCTTCCGAGGTGCCTCTGGGTGGGTTCAAACCACCAGCCTTTCAGCTAGTAGTCAAGTGCTTAACTGTACCACCCAGGGACTTTACATGGACTGTTATTGTTGTTGTTAGTTGCTATGGAGTCTATTCCAACTCATGGAAACCCCATGTGTGCAGAACAGAACTGCTCCGTAGTTTTTTCAAGGCTGTGACTTTTCAGTAGCAGATCACTAGGCCTGTCTCTGAGTGGGTTCAAACTGCCAGTCTTTCAGCTAGCAATCGAATGCTTAACTGTTCGTTAGCATAGACTCCTGTTGCTGTCGAGTGGATTTTGACTAATAGCGAACATATAGGATAGAGTAGAACTGCACCATAGGGTTTCCAAGACTGTAAATCTTTGTGGAAGCAGCCCACCACATCTTTATCCCCCAGAGTGTATGGTGGGTTCAAACCGCCGACCTTTTGTTTAGCAGCCTAGTGCTTAAC